CAACTATAGACGTCGTTGGCGCTCAGGGCCCGCAGGTGTTGGTCAAGTATAGGCGACTTTGGCGCCCAAAAGGATTTATGGTAAATCAGCTGGAAACTAACTTGTTTCGTTACCATAACATGATTCTATTTTAAATGTATTGTTATAAACAGATAAGAATAACTTAACCGATCTTCTTTAAAAACAGATAAGAATAACAGTTCTTATCTGTTTTCAAAGAAGATCGGTTAAGATTAACAGTTAAATTGTGCCGTAGCATTTGTTACTCTCTAAATAATTCATTGGAAATCAGCTAGTAATTAGCTTGTTTAATTATCGTAACATCATAATTATTTAAAAATTATATTAGCACTGTAATGATGACACCGTAAATAATCGATCGAAAAAAGAGAATCGATTTTTTTAAATGTGTTTTGTGATTGGCAACACTTTTTTTTATTCACAAACTAATGACATAATGATTTACCTAATTTTTATTATTATGTTTCCGGTACTTTTAATTTGTGCAAAAATATTCCCATTGTTTGAGGATAAATGAATACCGCGATTCATAACCATAAATAAAGATATAATTTTTTAACAAATTCACATTGTTGGGCGTTCCATGGCCGAAAATGGGCGTCCCCCTTTTTCTCTATATTTACTAATCATTATAATACTTATATTCTCTTTTATTAACTTTAATTTAATTTCATTTTCTATTTTCAGGCGCTCTGCGGCATATACGGGACACTCTAGCAAAATGTGTGGCACAGTTTCCTCAAGATCGTAGTCGCAGATGCACGATGGATTCTCTTTACACTTAAAACGGTGTAAGTATTCCGAAAATCCACCGTGCCCCGTCATGATTTGAGTCGTCACGCTGCTTGCTTCGAATTTTCTTACAATTCGGTAGGCCATTTTCACGTCTGGGAAAAACAGCTTTGTAATGTTTGCTGTCTCGCCAATCTGATATCTTCGATTCCATTCGTCCAGCGTTGCTACTCGAATGCTTCGCTTGACGAACGAAACTGGGCAAAGATCGTAATCTGGTCTCACTTTGGAATTTTTGGCAGCCTCTTTTGCTAGACCATCTGCTCGCTCATTCCCCTCTAAGCCCGCGTGGGCTTTAATCCAAAACAAAGTTACTACTTTGTCTTGGAGAGATATTGATCTTAAGTTATCTCTGCATTCCACGGCTAACGGGTGCAGGCGGTTTGGGTTTTTGATCGTTTGAAGGGCCGCCATTGAGTCACTGTAAATTCCAAAGGAGGACGCGCTGTGTTTGAGGATTCGCCTAGTCGCCCTGCAAATGGCCAAAAGCTCGGCTTGATATACTGTACAGTATGTTAGTAGAGCAAGTTTGAGGGCTTTATTTTCGGTTTTGTTTCTCCATTCGGAAAGGGCAGCGCCAACCTTGCCCTCAATTTTGCTCCCGTCCGTAAATATGTGGACGTCTAGTTTGCTGTATCTGTTCACCTGTTCCTCATTTACCAAACTTGTGACTTCTAATTCCAGACGCTCAGCAGGGTGTGCGCCCTCAACAGCTGAAGCCATTCTCTCGACTTCCCTTCCCGCCAACACTGGCTGGGGCACCCCTCTCTTGGCTTCATATAATGAAGCCGCCTCACGGACTCGGAGGTCCAGGGGGAGTATTCCAGCCAGTACTAGTGCCGAATTCAGAGAGACCGTTCGTCAGGTAGGCTTTGCATATTTTTTGAGCAATACCGCGTTGGACTACGGAAAGTTGTTTAATTACCCCCAGCTTTTTTGCAGCTTGTGCCCAGACGCTAGCAGCGTAAAGAATAATTGGCTCTACGGTGGCAAGATATATTATTCTTATTACTTCCGGATGAAGTCCCCAACTAACCTTCGCCGATTTGCCAAGTTGTTTGTAGATGCCGATTGCTTTTCTACACACATTGGCTACATGGGTATTAAAAGTGAGTTTATCGTCAAAAGTTACACCCAGTAGTTTTATTTCTTTTGACGTGCCAATGTCAGTACCTCCCATGCTTAGGCGTGGTGTGACGTATTTCAGTTTCCTAGTTAAAATCATCACATTTGTTTTATGTGGAGCAAATTTCAGTTTATTTTCAACACCCCACGCCCGGACATGTTCGAGAGTGGCATTGGCACGTCTCTCCACCTCGTGTGTCGTATCGCCGTCGAAGACTAAAACGACGTCATCCGCAAATGCCTGACAATAATCTCCCCTGCATTCCAAACTTTTCAAGAGAGGGTCCAATAAGAGATTCCATAGGATTGGGCCTCCTATGGATCCTTGGACACAACCTTTGTTTGTGCCCTTGGTGTATTCCTCTCCAGCGTATTTGACTACGACTTTCCTGTCCCTGAGATAACTATCCATACCCCTCCTCAAATTTAGCGGACACCTTTCCTCAGCGAGTCGAACTCGTATGGCTGGCCACCAGGCGCTATCAAAAGCCCCCTCTATGTCCAATGATACTAGTGCTATGATTTTCTTTTGATCTAGCTTCATATGGATGAACTGCATTAATACATAGAGGGAGTCTTCAGTGCTCCTCTGTGGCATGAACCCGTACTGGCGAGTACTCATCCTTGGCAAAAGGTGGAATTTGAGGCGGGCCACTAGCATTTTCTCGAAAATCTTTCCCAATATAGGTGGCAGTCCAATAGGCCTGTACGCTTTTGGAATAGTGTAGTCTACTTTGCCTGGTTTTTTAAGCACTATAACAGTAGCTTTTTTCCCGGTTTCTGGAAAGTGTTGTAGCATAAAGCATTTATTGAGGAAGGCCAGAAAAAGCTCAGGGTTGCTTTCAATAGCATGTAGGCATATATCGGCCGTGAAACCGTCCGCTTCCGGAGCCTTTTTGGTGTTGAATGATTGATACGCCTGTTTCAATTCTGACATTGTGAACAAAGGATCACACAGGTCATCTTGCTCGATGGAATTCACTTCGTCAGCTTTTGTTCTTATAATGCGATGATAAGTGGTTTCGCCTTCTGTTTGGTCTTCCGGAAAGAAAGTTTCCGCCAGTAACTTCACTGATCCTTGTGCGTTCAACACCACATTGTTCATTTCCAGTGGCACTTCCTCGTCCCTGCGCATTGTTCTCCCAATTACCCTATAGATACCCTCCCAGACCCCCTCTTTATCCTGTTTGCAGCAAAAGTCTTTCCAGCTCTCGATCTGAGCTTTGACCGCTTCTGATTCATACCTATCTTTTTGTTCCAGGTACTCTTTTACGACCTTCTGTCTACGGACTGGGGCTGCGCATTTAATCCTACGTTTCTTGGTAGTGACTTCCTTTTTCATCTCGGCGAGCTTCTCAGACCACCACGGCAAGTTAAGCTCTTCTGTAGCTTTTTTGTTTGGCATTGTTTGCTTGCAAGTTTCTGTTATTGATTTAGTTAATTTATCTGTTGCTATATCTATTTGTTCTATGGTTTCAATTTTTTCTATTTCTGGTTTGGTGATTTTAATTTCTGACAGCAATTGCTTAAGTTTCTCATGAAACTTAGGCCAATTTGTCTTCTTGGTATTAAACAATCTCGTCGTTCTATTTACTCTTAAACCTATTGATTTTTGAAGCCGAATGTTAAAAACAATTCCGTTGTGGTCTGAGCTCGTGAGACCCTCATCAACTGTCCAGTCCTCTACCAAGTCCAAGATGTCTGTCGAGCAGGCTGTTATGTCGACGTAGCTGAAATATCGTTTTCCTCCTCGGATGGTGTCAAAGGTCGGAATTTTCCCGCTGTTCAGTATATTCAGGCCCAGCTCCTCGAGGGCTCCTGCCAATTCTTCTCCTCTGTGGTCAACGGTCGGGCTTCCCCACCATATACTTTTTGAGTTTGCGTCACCTCCAGCAATCCATTTTGTAGATCCAATTTCTTGTTCTATCTTTTTGAGGTGATCAATGTAGGGCTCTATGGGCTGATCTGGTTCGAAGTAATACGAGACGAGTGTTATTTCCCAAGCTCTGGTTTGAATTCCCACCACAATGATGTTGTTTGTGGTGAGTTTTGAGGTACTGTTTTACGTTTAAGTCAATGTTGAAAAACGGCTACCGCTGCCTTAACAGTCCCTTCTCCTGGGCTAGAGTTTTGGAAAACCCTCGCGCCTCTTTGGCCTTTCATGGTGTTAGCACCACCCACATACGGTTCTTGAAGTAGTGCTATATCAGCTCCACGCTTCTGAGCTTCAATAAAAAGTTCGTGAGTTGCTAACTTTTTGCGCTGGAGGTTCGCTTGAATTATTTTATAGTGGGTTTGTTGAACTTGTGCACCTTTAGCAATACGCTATAGTTGATCGGGCTAGTTCATCCCACTTCCGACGTGTTGGGCAATTTGAGCTAAAAGCGTTGTGTTCTGTCTGGTACAGTTTTGCTTTTGAGCAGTTTCGACACTTGGGTGGTTCACCAGCAAGCCAGTCACTACACTCGGATCTTAAGTGGGGGCCACCACAGTGGCTGCACAGGTCCGATAAATCTTTACAGAACCTCTTACCGTGTCCATATCCTAAGCAGCGGGTGCATTGCACCAGTGGGGATTGGTCTTCTGCTCTAACACGTTGTCAATCAATATGGACACTCCCAATTTCGATAACTCTTTGCCAGATGATAGGCGAAACACTGACAACAATATGGCTGGTGTGGGGATTTCTTGTTTTCTCCTATATTTTATTTCCATTCTGATCTCACCTTCTTCGAGACCGTGAAAGACACCGCGGTTTTGATTCCTCAGAGCCTTCATGACGTCTTCGTCTGTGTTAACAAGAAGTACATTTCTGAGGATCAAAAGTGGGTCTTTGTTTTTGACTTCTTCGATGGTGAGATTTACTCCTTCTTTTTCAAGCCGGATTTTCATTTTGTTCCTATCCTCTTTTGATTCAAAGCCCATAATTATTTTTCTATCCTTTGCTTTCCTTACCCTTCCAACCTTTATCCACCCTTCTTTTGCATCAGCTGCTTTTCTGACCTTATCCATCACCTCTTTCAGTTTCATCTTTTGATGAAACTACTACGGAATGTAGGGTACTACGTTTTGGGAAAGTTTTTATGATTTTGTCCGCAGTAATATTCGCGTATGTTGGCACTGTCACTCGCTCTAGGGTTCCTCTTTGCTTTTCCATCGATTCTTTCAACTCTTCCATCTTTTTTATTTGTTTCTAACAGCAATATTGCGTGCTCTTCAATCCCTGTTTTTAGGTCTGAATCCACGACTGAGAAGGTAGAGTCAATGATTGCAGTTTCCAGCTCCACCTTTTCACTCTTTTCCTTTTCTCCTTTTGACTTTTTCGCCTTTAGCTCTATTTCAGCTTCTTTAACAAGCTGATATAACCGATCTAGTGCTTCTACAATGCTATTTTTTATCTCTGTTTTTGTATTTCGAGAGGCATTCAAATGGAGCTTGCCTTTTGTTAAACAAGCCTTTGCTTCCATTGTTTAATTTTCATATTGCTGCTTTGGCGGAGTGTGTACTTCTACAGACACTTTATGCGTAATTTTACTGTTTTGTGACGCCGATACCGTTTGTTTTGTTTTAGCAGTACCCGCCTGCATCGTCGTGCTAGTCATGGATGGGGTGGAATCAATGTTAGCTTCCCAGTCATCTATGCTACGTCTTACTTTTGAAGTTTCACTTCCTGTTTTAGGAGGTGACTTTTCAGTCCGTGTCGATTTGGTTGGTGTTCTAATTCCAAACATTTTGGAGTTATGTGTCCGTGTAGCGTCAAAAAGACCGTAAGTAAAGGGGTATGTAATTAAATCAGCAAACTGTAAATTAAGGGAAATATTTCACGGGGAGGTCACGGATTTCGTTAAACAATTTTTTAACAAATTGTAAAATTTTTAATACTAGAAAGTTAAAGAAAGAAAATAATTCCTTTCTAAAGTCAAACAAAACTATAAAAAATGCGATGTTACAATACAAGGTAGGACTAGAGTAAAGTCAAAATATAAACTTAACTATAAAACTTAATTTATAAAGTAAAATGTAAAAATATAATAAAAATAATCTATATATCACACATATAAAGGGAGTACAATTGTTACTCTATGTAGAGTCTTGGTCAATGACGCACAATAGTATGTGCAGACGAGCAAAATTTTTTCTCTTTAGGACCGTTTTTTCCCGAGTTTTTGGCTAACAAGTTTTCGGCTCTACGTAGAGTCTATTTTACATAACCAGCCAAAAGCGCTTTTCGAGCCCTTTTCAAAGACCCCAAACTCGATATAACTAGCCAAAGAGGTTCCAAAGTTACCGCGCTTTGAAGTTCTGGTTCCAAAACAAGATGGCTGCCAAAAGTATGGTTAAATTGCTGTAACTTCCGAACGAATAGGCTTACAGCCCCGTGCTTGGGCTCATTTTGTTGGGCTCAACTAGGTTTATTATGTGATATAGCTTTCAGGGTACCAAATTTTTGGAATCTGAACTTCCTAAAAACTTTTGGCTTGTTCTAAAAGTCGTTGCTGATATCTTTAGTCAAAATCCCAGTCTTCTGAGACTTCTAGTTCGGGAGTTATGGGCCTTTTAAATTTTTCAAAATGGCCGCCGGTCCAGAAAGCAAAGGCTATTTTGGGCGTCCTTTATCCGATTCGGCCCGTCTTTGGACTCATCTAAAAGGTCTCAGTGTCAAGCTTTAAAATAAATAGATATCTGGGCGTTTTAAGCCCCCCTTTAATTAAATTTTTAACGAAAATTGTATAATTTTTTTAAAATTTATAGATTTTTATGGCCAAGTTTCGTTTTAAAAATCTACAAAAATTTTGATACGTTATTTGCATTGTCCCTAATATGTTTATATGTTTTTCAACTTATTTAAACGTAATATAAGGTACCACGTGTTCAACTAAATAATTTAAAAAATCCTAATTTACAAACTACTTACAAGAAAAATCTCAAATTTTTTATAAACATTTCTATTATTGATCTTTATACTATTTTATTATAAAAACTGCAGGTCTTCACTTTAGTTTTTGAGAAATTAAATTACGAAATTTTGAAAAAATTTAAAAGTTCAATATCTCTTTAGCCACTTAACTTATGAAAGTTCCGAAAACTGCTCCCGGCTCCTCTCCACACTGGCCACCAGAATTAATCGACTCTAAAAGTAGCCGCACGATTCTCCTTCACAAAACACGTGCCCACGTGGGACTTGTTTTTTTGCCTTTTATTCTGAGACTGTAGCTCAGAAAAATCCCAAATTTTGCATGTATGTAGGGGCCAGCAATGGCTTTAAGGCCACACTTTAAAAAGTAATGGTTAAGGCGATTAATCACGCAGCGTTTCAATTCAAAGATTTTAAATTTTTCAAATTTCACTTTTTTTAAAATATCTTTTTCACTTTCACTCCAACTTTAACACTGTTTTCTCATATATAAGGCGCGAGTCAAGACGCGTCTTTTGACGTATCACACACACCAAAATCGGATCTAAAAAACCTATTTTATCGAATTTTTAATCGCGGAGCACTTTAAAAACGTGGCGTTCGGAACGGCAGTTGACACCGGACTCGGTTGGTTGGGTTAGGTTGGGTTAGGTTTTTTTTTTAAATTTTTTTTTTTTTAATTATAGACCTCCCTGAAACTTTGGGAGACTGTTTTTACAATTTGTCTTTATTATCTTGTTTGTTTATTTATCTTCAAAAACTCATTCATACATCATATCTTATACTCTGCTCGTCAGCCATTCAGCATCCCATTTTCATCTCGCTTACATCATCTTTCAATCATGGGCTGAAGGCCATAGTGTACTTACATTCTAATTGAAACACAAAGGGGGCGGGGACAACGAAGGGGGGAACAATAAAACTTTAATTACATTCAACATTTTGCAGTATCTAAACTAATATACATAGTAAACTAATTTTTACGACTTTTATAAACTAATAATAAGATAGCAAATTATTATACAACAAGGCTAGATACCTTAAACTACTGTCTAAACATAGCAATTCCATAACATACTTTGGGTATCTTAAAAACTATTTTTATATAAGGCAGGAGTAAAGCAACAGGACATTAGGTATTGACTACATTTTATTTTAACAATTTTTCTCATATGAATAACATCATTCTGTATAAGACTAATAACCAACTTAATGCTAACTTAAAACTATGTTCCTAATTACAATTTATTTATGCTAAAATTATTTATATATCAATATAATTACTTAGCATAACTTACACTCTATTTCTTTTATTTACAGCAATGCACAGTTTTATACAAAATTTGAGGAACAAGTCTCTATTTTTACCCAGTACAATATCCGGAAGCGTACTTAATTCCAGTTTGCAGTCCAATAAGAACTCCAGCTCCTGCCTCTCACGGTCATGGGCCGGGCAGTCCAGAAGGACGTGGAGAACAGATTCCGAACACGCAGGATCGCAGACGCACGATGGACTCTCCTTACACTTGAAACGATGCAAGTACTCGGAGAATCCACCGTGCCCCGACAATACCTGAGTGACAAATCTGTCCACCTTTATTTTACCGATGACACGGTATGCGGCTATCGCGTCCGGGAAAAAGACCCGGGTGACACCGGCTGTTTCACCAGCCCGGTATCGTTGGTTCCATTCATCAAGCGATCGCATACGAATGGTGAGTGAACCAGCACTTCAATCCCCCCCTTCGGACTCTCAACCCGCTTTGGGGTCGGCGTCTTTTCCTTAGGGGTGGAGGGGGCGCCCGGTCCAGCCGTATAAGCCGACTCGGGAGAACCCCCACCCCCCTTCGGACTCTCTACCCGCTCAGGGGTTAACGTCTTGCGCTTAGAGGTGGAGGGAGCGCCCGGTTCAGCCGTACAAGCCGACCCGGGAACCGCCCCCTCCCACTTCTCCATACTCTGTCTTGGCAGCTTTTTCACGATCTTGGGGGAGTTGAAGGTGGGTTCACTTTTTTCCGGCCGCTTGACCGGTGTCCGGAGTCACAAAACCATTTTTCAGGGAGGTCGCGTCAACAATTAATAAAATAGATAAATTTAAAATAAAGTGTCGAAATAAATAGTCAAAATTTATACTAAAAATGTCAATAATAAAATTACCGCAATAGCGGGTTGTATAGGGTAAAAATAGAGAGTGTTCCGTCAAAAATCAAGTGCCGTAGAATACTACGGCCCTTACTCAACCTAAAACCACTTAAAAGCTATCTAAAATGTCTTCCGCCGCGACTCTACGGTGGAACTCTACAGTGACTCTAGATAGAGTCGCCCAGTTAACACCAATCGATAGCGCTTTCCAGGGGAAAGTCAACGGAAAAAACCGCGTCGCTCTACGACCAGCGGTTTCCGAGATATCACGCCTTAAAGATTTCCAAGATGGCGGCCGGTTATCTGGTTTCAGTCTAGACCGAAATCTAAAAAATTATATCTCGAGAACCGCTGATCGCAGGAACGCGAGCGACGGCTTCCCGTAACGGGCGTTTTGCCCTCTATTTGAAACCTGCCAAATTTTTGGCAATCTGGAGGTCGACTCTATCCAGAGCCACAAACTATCACAAATCGTAGAGCTCACCACAACTAAGCGTGTACAAGAAACCGCGTCTTTCTAAGACGTCTAGATCAAAAGTTATACAACTTTTTATCAAATCAAAATGGCAAGTTTTAAGGATTTCTACTAAATCCGTTCCTATTTGTCGTATCCTATCGAGCTTGGGCTCGTTTGATTCGTCTTTTAATCTACAATCTATGTCTACAATTATCTACAAAAAATATTTCAACCCCGATTTTTGGGGTGCAAAAAACATATAAATTTACAACAAAATTGGCAAAACTCGAAAATTTTAAATAAAAATTTATTCTAAAAAGCTAAGATTATACTTATACACTACTTAGTCTAATTTTTACAATAGGTTGCGAAGTGATCAAATTGTTATTTACACCCCCACGTGTCAACCCTTAAACTTTAAAAAAAATCGTAACTCCAAAAGTATTCAGCCGAAAATTATGAAATTTATAGCATTGGTAGAGCTTAATGAGCCCTACAAACTAAATAAAAAATATGGGGGTGTCGTCGATCTTTATTTCGAAATAAAAAATTTTTGAATTTTGAAAAATTTTAAAAATTTTAATAACTCCGCAACCACTAACCTTAAAATTATGCTTGATACGGCGTTGTATTCGCCGCGTCGTGCCGCGTCAAATGAGCCGCCTCGCGCTGTCCACTGGATCCAGGACCACGTGTCCACGTGGTTCCCGGTTTTTCTTTAATAACTCCGTGAGTTTCCACCGGAAAAATCCGGCCGAGGTGTCACAAGAAAGAGCTCAGCGAGCCCCGTCTGCAGATATAAAAATATCCAGGGGTCACAGATCGCGTTTAGGCAGCGTTCACGCTCAAAGTTTTTAAAAATTAAAATTTGCACTTTGCACTGTTTTTCTTCACACTTAACGCGCTCGGCGCGAAAAACAGAAACTGTCACTAGCTGGGGCAACTATTCTCACAACTTTTGGTGCATAAATTGTAAAAATCGGAGCACAAAAAACCACTTTTTTCGATTTTTGAAACACAAAATCGGGCGGAGCGGCACTCGACCAACATGTAGCACGTCCACCTCAGAGTGCGTCTGACGACGGAGGGGTTGGTTGGGTTAGGTTGGGTTAGGTTGGGTTAGGTTAGGTTAGGTTAGGTTAGGTTTGGCGAGACTCTGATCGAACCGGCTCGGGGCCGTAGCTGGGTTGCTGCGGTCTCGGGTGGTATCGTTATTGTGGGGGCGTATTTCTCCCCCAACAAGAGTCTCGCCGACTTTGAGGGTTTCCTTGTCGAATTGGGCGCCGTCGTAGGCCGCTATCACCCTCGTCCCGTTCTGGTGCTCGGGGATCTCAACGCAAAGTCATCAGCGTGGGGATCTCCGGTCACTGATCCTCGGGGCGAGGTGCTAGAAGAGTGGACAGTGACAACTGGTCTGGTCGTCCTGAATCGGGGTTCGGAATACACGTGCGTGCGGCAGCGAGGCGGGTCGATAGTGGACGTCTCGTTTGCCAGCCCCTCTGTCACCAGCCACTGGCGTGTCGCCGTAGGGGTGGAGACGTTGTCGGACCATCGGTATATCCGGTTCGACGTCTCTGCCCAGACTGCGAGAAGCCGCCATCCAACTACCCCGATTAACGACGGCCCGCGTTGGGCGCTTAAGCGCATCGACAGGGAACTACTTGAGGAAGCTGCCTTAGTCCAATCCTGGATCTGGGAGTCGGCAACGGACGGTACCGTCGACGTCGAAGCAGTGGCGCTATGGTTTCGCGGGGCGATGACGCAGATCTGTGACGCGGCCATGCCCCGTGTCCGCCAACGGTCCGCAAGGCACCAGGTGTACTGGTGGACCGCCGAGATCGCGCAATTGCGCATAGCGTGCGTTGCGGCCCGACGCCCACACCCGATACCGGAGACGGCGTCGACGGGATTCCGCCGAGGAGGACGCGCTGTATGAGGTGTACCGCGCGTCTAAGGAGACTCCGTGGCTGGCCATCGGCGACTCGAAGTCGCGTACCAGGGAGGAGCTGCTGGGGTCCCTAGATCGGGATCCGTGGGGGCGCCCTTACCGTTGGGTACGGGGCAAGTTGCGTTCCTGGGCGCCTCCACTAACGAAAACAATGCAACCCCAGTTGCTAGAGACGGTGGTATCAGTTCTCTTCCCTGAACGAGTGGGACACGTTCCCCCGGCGATGGCTTCGCCCTCAGCCACAGACTCTCCAGAGGAAGAGAGCACCGATGTCCCCAAGGTGACGCAAGCAGAGATGAGAGCGGCCATGGCGCGACTTCGGGCCAAGAACACAGCGCCCGGACCCGACGGAGTTCCTGGTCGAGCTCTCGTCCTGGCTCTGAAGGAGCTGGAGCCCCAGCTGAGGGGGGCTCTTCACGGCATGTCTCGAGCAGGGTCGGCTTCCCAGTGTGTGGAAGGAGGGAAGGCTGGTCCTACTCAGGAAGGAGGGGCGCCCCGCGGACTCACCGTCCGCGTACCGGCCCATAGTGCTGCTCGACGAGGCGGGAAAACTTCTTGAGCGTATCATCGCAGATCGCCTCGTCAGCCACTTGTGCAGAGTGGGGCCAGACCTGGACGAGAACCAGTTTGGTTTTCGTCGCGGGCGCTCCACCATAGACGCTATTACGCGCGTGAGGGCCCTGGCGGAGGAGACCGTATCCCGGGGTGGGGTGGTGCTGGCGGTGTCATTAGACATCTCCAACGCCTTCAACACCCTACCCTGGAGTTGTATTCGGGAGGCACTTAATTACCATCGCGTGCCTCCCTACCTCCGCCGCACAATACGGGCCTACCTTGAGGAGAGATGCGTCACGTATTGGGGACGTGACAGCGCTGGTCGACGCGTCATGTCGTGCGGTGTTCCGCAGGGATCGGTCTTGGGACCGCTCCTGTGGAACATCGGCTACGACTGGGTGCTGAGAGGTGAGCTCCCGTCGGGCGCTGACTTGACCTGTTATGCGGATGACACGCTCGTCACTGCCCGGGGGAGCTCGCACAGGGAAGCAGCGTTGGTTGCCACGGCTGCGGATTCACAAGTGGTGAACCGCATCCGGTGCCTGGGCCTGGAGGTGGCCCTTAACAAGTCGGAGGCCATGGTGTTTCATGGCCTTCGACACGCGCCGCCACCGGGATCGCACATCGTGGTCGGCGGGGCCCGGATAGCTGTCGAGTCCACCATGAAGTACCTGGGATTGGTGCTCGACAGCCGATGTGAATTTGGGCCCCACTTCCGGCGGCTGGCGCCCAAGCTGATGCGTGCAGCTGGCGCACTTTCAACGCTGCTTCCCAACTTGGGGGGGCCCGAGCGCTGCCTGTAGGCGGTTGTACGTGGGAATCGTGCGGTCCATGGCCCTGTATGGGGCCCCTGTATGGGCGAAGGACATGACGGCCAGCACTCTCGCCATTCTGCGCAAACCGCAGAGGGCGATGGCCGTCAGAGTCTTCCGCGGGTATCGCACGATTTCCTACGAGGCGGCTTGCGTCCTGGCCGGATCCCCGCCCTGGGACCTAGAGGCGAAAGTACTCGCGTCACTATATCGATGGCGCGAGGAAGAGCGGGGACGGGGCTCGAGGCCGGTGCAGCGACAGATCGCGCTGCGCCGAGAGGAGCTCCGTCAGGTCTTGGTGGCGGAATGGCGGCAAAGGCTTCTGCGCCCTACCGCCGGCCTCGCTATCGTCGAGGCGATCCGGCCAGTACTCGACGACTGGCTCGGGAGAAAGCACGGCTCCCCGTCGTTTAGGGTGACGCAGGTGCTGTCGGGGCACGGCTGCTTTGGCAAGTACCTGTGCCGCATAGACAGGGAGCCGGACGCTCGGTGCCACCACTGCGTCCATTGTGGGGAGGACACGGCGCAACACACGCTCGCCGAGTGTGTAGCTTGGGAGGAGCAGCGCCGTGTCCTCACAAATGAAGTAGGAGGCGATTTGTCGCTGTCGGCCTTGGTGCGGAGTATGGTCGGTAGCGCAGAATCGTGGGATGCAGTGGTGTCCTTCTGTGAGGACGTGATGTCGCAGAAGGAAACTGCGGAACGGGAGAGGGAGATCTCGACTCCCTTCCCTGGCCGCAGAAGGCGCACCGGGCGCAGGAGAAGGGCGGACAACGCTCTTTTCCAGCCCCCATGAATAAGTCCAGGGGCGAGGGACTTGGGGAAGCCCCCCGCCCCCTTTCGATGGACCCGAGGCGGAGGCACGCGTGGGTGTCGGCGCGTGCCTCTGGGGTGATACAGGGGGTAGTTGAACACCTCACTATCCCGTGCAGGAGACGAGGCCCGTACAGACCGGGCCAGCACTAGTGTGGGGCTGCGAAAGAATTTGGATTCCCGCGGCCCCGCGCGTGCACGTGTGAGGAGACACCGGGGTGGTTTTAGCCGGTAAGAGTCCGGCACACCCCTCCGCCTGTCCCCAGGCAGAGGCAGTCCATGAGGATTTCCCCCCCGTAAAAAAAAAGTTTAGTTTAGGTTAGGTTAGGTTTTTTTTTTCCTTATACGTTGTTTCGCCGTTTTACAATGTATTCTGCAGACTTTTCTTTTGGCGCTTTAGGTGCTTTTATTTAACGGTATTATTAGGGTTTCTTTGCTGTATACGTAGAATTTATTTTATAATTCTCTACATACATGAAAGCCGTGTGATTGCTAATGGGATACAATTCACCTGGCTTTTCATGCTATCGCTCGTTACATGTTTTACCTCTGTTTAATAAGCACTGTTGATTATTAGTTGTTAAATAGATAAATTTTTAATGTAAACATATATATACATATATATACACATACACATACACATACATACATATACATACATATACACATACATACACATATATATACATATATATAACTTTTTGTATTAATTAATTGCTTAAAATGTAAATTTAATTTAATTTTCGTATTTTTCCTTAAGATTGAGGCTTGCTGTTAAATCTTTTAAGTTGATCAACTATATAATTCACGAAATCCACGAATGATGCAATTGAGGATTCCTTTGTTACCAACTCCTTTAATTTATATGGTGATATTTTTATCATTTGGCATCGAAATTCGTGTTCCAGTCGTTGTGCTTGAAATCTAGCGCAATATTTTAATAAGTGGTCGAAACTTTGTATACTGTCACCATTACAAGGGCATTTATTGTTGTTAAAATTTTTAAATCTATGTAAATATTGCTTATGGAAACCATGACCAGTTAATACTTGGGTGAGTTTAAAATTAATTTTAGTAGATTGCCAAAGCTGTTTAATGGATTCAATATCGGGTAAGAGTTCTCGTGTATGTTTCCCTTGTGATGCACTGGCGTAACGATGCTGCCAGTGATTTAGACTTTCTTTCTTTATTTTTGCTTTCGCAAAGCTAATCGGAAATTTTAAATAATCACATCCCTTCTTTAATTTTGCTGCCTTCTTCGCAGCTAAATCAGCTGCTTCGTTCCCAGCGATACCCGTATGAGCTTTAATCCAAGTGATGGTAATTTTACCAATTTCCTCTATTTTCTTTATCTTATTATGTATGTTTGTAACAATAGGGTGAGTATTACTTCGTTTATTTATTGCATAAATCGCTGGCATACTGTCTGAAAATATTTTAACCTCATTAATATTATTTTTTATGGTCCATGCGCAGGCTCTATCAATGGCAAAAAGTTCTGATTGAAAGACTGTACAGCTATCATGTAACTTAATTTTTTTAACTAATATATTTCTATCATTGTTGAATACTGCGAAGGAGGCTCCCACCTTTCCATCCTTTAATTTGCTACCGTCTGTATAAATGTTAGTAAGCGTTTGGTTAGGGTCACTATAAGGAGGTTCATTGCCTGGTGAGAAATTTTTAAAGATTTTGATTCTACAAGCTGGATGTATGAGGTATTGAGGTGGTGTGGGCTTTTCCAGGGTAATATCTTCAGGCAAATATTGGGTTATACCAGAGCTTCGGATGTTTTCAAGCTGGTGCACTTCCTTTATTTTGAGATCAAGTGGCGTGAATTGAGTGAGAGCTAATACTGCTGCGGTGGATACTGTGCGAAAAGCTTGTATAGCTTTGAGGGCAAACAGGCGTTGAGTTCGTTCCAGCAATTTCTTACAACACTTTTTGGAAGTGGCTTCACCCCAAACACCAGCATCGTAGGTTATTGTAAGTTCTATTACTTGATGGTAGATTATACTAATATTTTCGGGATTAATCCCCCAAGTGGGTCGGCAATATGTACATAATTTGTGGAAAATACGGGTGGCTTTATCTAGAACGTACTTAATGTGGTTTTTAAAGGTGAGCTTTGAGTCCATTATTACTCCGAGTAATTTTATTTGATTTACTATAGGCAATGTATTGTCGTTCATTTTGAGTTTCGCTGTTTTAGCTTGGGCGGTAAAAGCAATTGCTTGCGTTTTTTCCCAGCTGAAAGTTAGTTTGACACTATGTCCCCATTGGAGAATTTTGTTTAATGCCGAGTTAGTGGTTAATTGTAATTTATTAACATCTTGTGCGTGAACGATTAGTAAAAAGTCATCGGCAAAAGCCTGGATATGACATCCGGGTGGAAGTTGAATTTCTAACAATTCATCCAATATTATATTCCATAGAGTTGGGCCGCAAGTTGATCCCTGTACACAACCTCTAGACATAGTTTTGGTGGTCTGATACCCTGCATAATCCAGTGTGACTTGTCTGTCTTTGACATAGTCATGTATCAACCCAAAGATGTTGCGGGGACACTGGATATGTCTAAGTCTTTGAAACAAGGCAGGCCACCAAGCGTTGTCAAACGCAGCTTTGATGTCCAGGGAAACTGCTACGACTTGTTGGTTATTTTGCTTGGCTTTTTTAACAATTTCTATAGCTGAAGATATGGCTGCTGTGGTGTTAGTCTGCTCTTTAAAGCCGAATTGTCGCTCGCACATTTTGCCATTTCTTGTGGCCTGATATTTGACCCTGGCTATGAAACTTTTTTCCAATAATTTTCCAAATACAAAGACCATTGGGCGAAATGCGCTTAAGTCGTTAGGATTATTTTTATTAGGCTTCGGAATAATTTTAACATAAGCTATTTTCCATTGCCGTGGGAAATATTGAAGAGAGAGACATCGATTCATTATATTAGTTAGTAACTTTGGGTAAGCTAGAGCAAACTGTGTGCAAATGTCGGCTGTAAGATTATCAACTCCTGGTGCTCGCTTTGGGTTCATACTTTGGATGTGTTCAAGTATTTCTTCTTCACTGAATGGGAGGTCATTATCTGTATTTGAAAAAATGTTATAGTCTTTTCTGAGCTCTTCGTGTCTGGGAATGGAATCAGGAGTGTCATCAGGGTAAAATTGATTGAGTAATGCTTTTGAAGTTTCTTCTTCGTTATCGGTATATGTGTTACCAATTTGTAAAGTACTTGGTGGACGACTTCGTTTGGTTTCTTTTAGCAGTCGGTTCGTAAGTGACCAGACATTTTCTTTGTCTTGGCGTTGGCAAAATTCCTTGAAATTATTGGTTGATGTTCGCCGAAGTTCTTCTGCATACTCCTTTTTCTTTTCCTGTCTCTCTTTTATCAACTGATCAAGAGGGAGACCTCTTTTTTTAGCTTGGTGTATCTTGTGATGAAGGTTGATTACTTCCTTTTTATAATTTTCTAGTTTTTCAGTCCACCATATTGGCTTATACTTGGCGCCGCTTTTTCTGACAGGCATAGATGCTCGACATGCCTCGTGTATGATGTCAGTGGTTTTTGTTATAAAATCTTCTAATTCATTGGCACCAAGTGTGGAGATGTTCACATCCAGGCATCCGCTGTTACACAAATGGGTATCCAAGGCAGATTTAAACTCTGCCCAGTTTGCTTTATTACTTTTGTATTGATAGGTGGATGTGTTATTATTTGATAAGTTTGTATTGTAAAGGTTTAATACCATTTCGACTGCATTATGTTGTGATAAAGGGCAAGCCTCAAGATTGACTTGACATCTGCTGATATTTTCGTATATGGATCCAGATGCAAAGATTAAATCTATAATTGATGTACGATTTCTTCCATGGGTTACTGTCTCAAAAGTTGGAGTTGAGCCGGCATTACAGATATACATGTCGTTTCCAAACATGATTTCTGCCACATCGCGCCCTCTTGGATTCGAAGTCGCGCTACCCCACAGGGGATGCCACCCATTAAAATCTCCGCACAAGATACGGTGAGAGTCACTAGTAGCTTTTAAGAATGCATCGACACGTTCAAGTGTTGCTAATTCGTCGCATCTGGGTTCAATGTATGCGGAAGCTATATATAGTTTTTTACTACCTACAGTTATTTGTACAACGCAAAGATTGGAGAATGAAAATTGTGTAATTCCTAACAATGCTCCGCACTTAGGCTTGGCAATGATGCAGGCTTTGACTTTATTATTACTAGTTGGAAACTGATATATGTCGAGGCCTTGTATCGATTTCATTTCCTGGAGATTTCCGATGTACGGTTCCGAGAGTAAAGCTATCGAGTAATCGTTATCCATAAAAAAGCGAATAAATTCGTGTTGGCAACTTTTAGACCGATCTATGTTACACTGGATTAATTTTATTTTAGTTGTCGGATCCATAATCGATACGTTGACTTATTCGCTCCTTCATAGATATTACTCTCGGACATGATAGAGAAGTAGCTGGGTGTTGTATATTGAATTTAGTTTGGAATTTATTATTGTGCGCTTGACAGTTATAACAATTAGCAGAAGATTTATCGGTCTTTAGCAGACAATGTGTAATCGTGTGGTCAGTTGCTGCACAGTGAGAGCATGGATGAGTATTGTTGGGACATTTGTTTTGGACGTGACCGAATTGCAGACACCTAAAGCACTGTATAAATGGTGAAAAGTCCTCGGCTTGAATTCGTTGGTGATCAATGTTGATTCTACCCAAGTTAATTATTTTGCGCCATATTTGTGGTTTACATATAAATACCGCGTTGTATAGTTTATCATTTCTATTTTTTCTTTTGAATCGTAGGCATAGGTCATCTTTGTTTTCAATAAGTTCTCCGAGTTCTTGGTTTTGCCCTGCAATGATGTCAGCTAACTCATCAGATGGAACGTCGTGAGAGATTCCTTTGAATATAATCATAGGATTCATTTTACGCGCAGGTACGGCAGTAACAGCCGGGGCGGATTTTAATCGCTCCAACGCATCGTCTCTCTGTACACAAGTATCGAATTCAACCCTAAGTTTGTTATTAGAGATAATTTTTAATTTGGAAGGTGCATAGTTAGTTTTTTTAAAACATATGCTTTTACGCCAAGACTCCATGATTTCCTCTCTGGAATTGACAGTTGTTGTTGGTGTTACTATTATGGCTGGCTTAGTTGCTGGAGTGACGGATGGTTGAGCTTGTTTGAAAAAAGGGGTTGAAGCGACGCTAGCATAAGATTTAACTTGTACAGGAGGAGGCGACATTTTGGCGATTTCTCTCAAGACGAAAAACTACTCCGCTGTAATTTTAGTTTCTCGTATTATGCGATTTATGTCGTGCGCCATGTCTATTACTGCCTTTTTATTTTCGGCCGTGACGCTTCTTCCCGTTGAGATGATAGTTATGATTGTGTTTGCCAATTTACTAATAGCGTTAAGGCTTTCCGCTGTGCTGAAAGATATGCGGTTTTCATTTTGGCCGGAGTTATTAATTGTATCACAAAGAGGGGTTTCACAGTTGGAATTGGCCATTTTAAAGCATATGACAATTAATAAAACGAAATATACTGCAAAACAAATTTTAGGAAAGTTATTGGCAATTTTATAGTTGGGTTAGGTAAGGTTATTAGTCGATGTTTGTCTAAGCTGATTGTTTTTGTTTACCTGTTTAATAAAAAACCAAAAAAATAAATAAAAGATATTAATTAAAAAAATCGATGTACATAAAAAAAACGATATAAATAAAAAAAATCGATATAGATTCCTGCAAGGCTACTTAAGTAAGACAAACAGGGTGGGGCGATTTTTTCGTATTTCGTGTGTTTTCTGAAGGAAATTAGAGTGCAGATGGTAGTTTCTACACAATACGGACCTAACAGGAGCAAAAAGAACGAGATAAACGAAAATTTAAAAATGTTTAAAAATTTGATGAATTTACCGACTATAAAAAAGATGAAAACTATGAAAATTTAATATTTAAATGTGAAAATTTACAAAGAAAACTATATGGGAATACGGGGGGCGGTTATTTGTACTATTTAAAAGTAAATTTCAACGGAAAAGGCTAATTTTCAGCCAAATTAAAGATGAATTTATGTTTAAAATTACGAATTTACGATAATAAGAGAATATAAATATAAAAATTAATTATATAGGATCTAAAATTTACTGAAAAAAAACTATAAGATAATATGAGGGGCAATCAACTGCACTATTTACAGAAGATTTGAACTTAAAATGCCAATTTTCAGGAAAGTTATTAACAAATATTTAGTTAAATTTATGCAGTTGTAAGGATCGACCACTATACCTCAGTTTAGGTAAGTAGTGTTTTTTTCGTATTTCGTGTGTTTTCTGAAGGAAATTAGAGTGCAGATGGTAGTTTCTACACAATACGGACCTAACAGGAGCAAAAAGAACGAGATAAACGAAAATTTAAAAATGTTTAAAAATTTGATGAATTTACCGACTATAAAAAGATGAAAACTATGAAAATTTGATATTTAAATGTAAAAATTTACAAAGAAAACTATATGGGAATACGGGGGGGCGGTTATTTGTACTATTTAAAAGTAAATTTCAACGGAAAAGGCTAATTTTCAGCCAAATTAAAGATGAATTTATGTTTTAAATTATGAATTTGTGATAATAAGAGAATATAAATATAAAAATTAATTATATAGGATCTAAAATTTACTGAAAAAAAACTATAAGATAATATGAGGGGCAATCAACTGCACTATTTACAGAAGATTTGAACTTAAAATGTCAATTTTCAGGAAAGTTATTAACAAATATTTAGTTAAATTTATGCAGTTGTAAGGATCGACCACTATACCTCAGTTTAGGTAAGTAGTGTTTTTTTCGTATTTCGTGTGTTTTCTGAACACACACAACAAAATTCTGAACTTAAAATGCCAATTTTCAGGAAAGTTATTAACAAATATTTAGTTGGTTAGGTTAGGCTAAGTTAGGTTAGGTTAGGTTCTATACAAATAATTCGAGAAGCCCCCATGGCCTGTCATGACTTGTACCGTCATATGATCCATGTCAACCTTTCTGATGATGTTATATGCTTTTATAGCATCTGGGAAGAATATTTTTGTTACATTGCCTGTTTTTCCTTCCTTGTAGCGCCGGTTCCATTCATCAAGCGACTCCAATCGGATTTGTCGCTTGATGTACGAAACCGGACACTTGTCATAGTCAGGTTTCTTTTTACTTTTTGTAGCTGCTTCTTTGGCTAGCTGGTCTGCTCTCTCGTTTCCCTCCAATCCTGCGTGAGCTTTAACCCAAAACATATTTAGTGTTTTGCCCTGTCTGTTAATTTTTAAAATGTTGTTTCTAGCTTCCACCGCTAGGGGGTGGAGGGAGACGTCTTGAACAATTGTTTGGAGAGCAGACCTCGAGTCAGTATAAATTTTGCAGCTTTGTGTTGGGTTTTTGATGACATATCTTGTTGATTCAAGTATGGCCAGCAACTCTGCCTGGTAGACGGTGCAAAAATTTTCCAGTTTCAGTTTCCGGGTACTTATCTCCGCGGCGTCATACCAGATGGATAACGCCGCGCCGACTTTCCCCTCTATTTTACTGCCGTCAGTAAATATTTTTTGGCCATTGTTGTTATTTTGGTCTATTTGTGCACCGTCTTCCAGGCACGCAAACTTCAGCCCGACCTGTTCCGCAGGATGTGTGGTTTCCGTGTAATCAATTTTCCTCTCTACATCCCGATCACCTACTATCCGCCGGGAGAAGCCTTTCTTTATTTCATAAAGCGAGGCTGCTTCCCGAATCCTAATGTCCAAAGGAAGCAGCCCGGCGAGTAGTAGAGCCGAGTGCAGAGATACCGTTCTGTATGCTTTTATTATTTTTTGTATAAATCCGCGTTGTATCGTGTCGAGCTTTGTTTTAATTTTCTGCTTGCTGGTTGCTGGTGCCCAAGCACTAGCCGCGTAAAGCACGATCGGTTCCACAACCGCTATATATATGGTCCTAATAATCTCTGGGTTCAGGCCCCAGTGGATTTTTGCAGCTCTCGACAACTGTCGATACAAGTTCTGTACCTTGCGGCACACATTCTTTATATGTGTGTCGAAGGCAAGTCTGTCGTCGATTGTAAGGCCGAGGATCTTAATTTGTTTGGAGAGGCTAATGCTTTCCCCACCCATCTCCAGAAGTGGTGAGTCGTACTTTAATTTATTTGTAATAACCATCGCCATGGTTTTATGCGGTGCAAACTTTAGCTTGTTTTTTGACTCCCCACTTCTGGACATGTGCGAGGGTCACATTTGCCTGCTCCTGCACCTGTATTGCCGTATCCCCAGAGAAAATTAGGACCACATCGTCCGCGAAAGTCTGGCAATGGACTCCATTTTCGCTCAGTTGTTTCAAGAGTGGGTCCAACAGCAAGTTCCAAAAAATTGGACCACTTATAGAGCCTTGCACACACCCTTTTATGGTCTTCCTGACACATTCTGACCCAGCATATCTCAAGCACACTGTCCTGTCACTGAGATAGCCGTCAATAAGGCGTCTTGTGTTTACTGGGCATCCAGTCCCCGCAAGCGCACATCGTATGGCCGGCCACCAGGCGTTATCGAAGGCTCCCTCTATGTCTAATGGTATAAGCAGAGTGAGCTTTTTGTCCTTGAGCTTAGTTCTTATCAGCTGCATCATCTCATCATCATCATATCATAGAGGGAGTCCTCGGTACTGCGCTGTGGCATGAACCCGTATTGTTCCCGGCTTATTGTCGGTACGATGTGCCACTTGACCCTTCGAACCACCATTTTTTCGAAGACTTTGCCCAGTACAGGCAATAGCCCAATCGGCCTGTAAGATTTCGGGTGTGTGTAATTTTCCTTGCCAGGCTTTCTCAGCGCCACTATTATTGCTTTTTTCCATATGACGGTGAAGTAAGCGAGACTAAGGCATTTGTTTGCTATCGCCAGAAACAATGCTGAGTCCAGGGCGATGACTACTCCACAAATGTCCGCTGTAAATCCGTCGCTTCCCGGCGCCTTCTTCGGATTGAAGCTTGACACGGCCCACATCAGCTCTTCCGTTGTAAAAGGTGGGTCACATGGACTATCATGTGACCCTTCGTTTACAGTTTTCGCTGTTTCTCTAATTTGCTTGTGTTCCGTGTCATCATCCTCAATTCTATCCTCCGGATAAAAGACTTCCGCCAGGAAGCTGGCCGATTCCCTACTTTCTAAGGACCTCCCATCTCGAACAAGTGGAGTGTCCGCCTGTCGTACTCTTGTACGAT